AACAAAAAAAAAAAAAAAAAAAAAAAAAAAAAAAAAAAAACGAGCAACAACAAGCATCATATGTTTTAAAAAGAGTAGAAGATATAAATGGAAAGATTAGCTGAGCTTCAACAGTATTAAAATAACTTTAAGTATCTTTTTCAGGATTCTATCCGTGCAGTCTTGGCAAACATGGACAGCCTGCAGCCCTTTGTTACAGAACACTTCACTGTATTTCCCTATATCCTTTCTTTCCTAGTGTCTTATTTTTCCCCAGAAAAGTGGGTTTGTGTTTAAGACAGGCCCTATCTCATGGAACACAGGCTGACCTTGAAATCACTATGTGAAACACCACGCCTGACATTTGGGTTTTTGAGGTAGTTAACCAACCATGACTGGCCTACTACTCAGTATATTGTCAAGGGTAGCATGGAATTCACAGTAATCCTCCTGCCTCGGGCTCCTGAGTATTGTGATCGGAGGCATGCAACATCACATCTGGCTTTTCCCAGCTGCTAATAAGCTACAAGTCACAGCATAGATTTCAGTGGAAGCAGTGAGACCAGAGAAAGGAGAGCTAGAGCCTCAGCCTTCAAATCGTCACCAGGAACACATGCTGTCCCCCTTTCTGTTTCCTTAGCACCATCCTCAGATAAAAGCAAGTGGGAGAGAGTTTCCCACCTGAAGTTTAAACACGGAGACATCATCTTGACTCCCTACCCATTTGTTTTCACTCTGTATGTCGAGATGAAATGGTTTACTGGAAACATGCCTACAGGTAAGTAGTGATGAGAATGAGTGGTAGAAAGGGAATAGGCAGACACTAATTTCAGGGGTTGTATGTATTAAGTATTGGTGGATGGGAATACATAGTCTGGTTGGAGACTAATAGCTCAGTGAGAGAAACCTATGCAAACACTTTGTTTTTGTTTCTGATCCAGAGTCTCACTATGTAGCCCTGGCTGCCCTGAAGCTTACTATATAGCCTAGGCTGGCCTCGAACTCACAATGATCCACCTGCTCTGCCTCCTGAGTAAGGTGATTAAAAGCTGTGCTAGGCCTCTGATATCTTAACACTATTTCCCAGTTATTAATCTCCAAGCGATATATGGTTATTTTACTAAAAAGCAAATAAATACCTACTAGTTTAATTTTAAAAGTACAAAAGGAGGCTGAAGAGATGATCCAGTGGGTAATGTTTGTTACTAAGCACAAGAGCCTCAATTTGAATCCCCATTGCCCAAGGCCACACTTACTTGTAACCCTGACCTTGGCAGGGTTGATAGAAACAGGCAGATCCTGGGAGCTCACTGGCTGGCCAGCCTATCAGAAAAGCTGAGTTTGTGATTCAGTGAGAGATACTGGCTCAAGGGAATTGGATGGAGAACAACCCAGTTCCTCAGGTAGTAAAAAAAAAAACCGCATCCTCTTTTGAAGAGCTTACTATGAAGTATGGTAAACCAACTCCACTTCAGCTTAAAGGTGGCAGTTGTTCTGGAGGCTAGGACAGAATCTCAAGACACTATGCAGGGAAAATGGTTCCAGGCAGAAGAGGAAAGGGCTCAAGCAGAAGTTTTGTCTCAATCCATTTCCCAGAAATAAAGTTCAGAAACCCACGTAAGACAGTCTTGATCCATTATGATGTTCAAATTTCCATTGTAGGAAAACCAACAGATGATAGTCCTCTTGAGTTGGTAAGTTTGTTCTTTCTTTCTTTTTTTTTTTTTTTTTTTTGGTTTTTCAAGACAGGGTTTCTCTGTAGCTTTTTTTTAATTTTTATGATTTATTTATTTTTATTTTATGTGCATTGGTGTGTCAGATCCCCTGAAACTGGATTTTCAGACAGTTGTGAGCTGCCATGTGGGTGCTGGGAATTGAACCCAGGTCCTCTGGAAGAGCAGTCAGTGCTCTTAACCGCTGAGCCATTTCTCTAGCCCCCTTCTCTGTAGCTTTGAGCCTGTCCAGGAACTAGCTCTTGTAGACCTCAAACTCACAGAGAACCTCCTGCCTCTGCCTCCCAAGTGCTGGGATTAAAGGCGTGTGCCACCACCGCCCAGCTAATTTGTTTGTTTGAGATAGAGTTTCTGCGTAGTCGTCCGTCCAGATAGACTCAGAGATCCACATGCCTCCTGAGTGCTGAGATTAAGGTTGTGCACCACCATGCCCGGCAAAATTGAATTTCTATATAAAATGAAAATTGCCTTTCTTGCCTCAAAAGTGATGCTCTTGTCTCTTCTGCCTTTGTCCCTCAATGCTGCTCAGATTCCATCCCAACTGTAAATATGAGACCATGTCTCCCTTCATCTAGATTTCAGAGGCGATATCTCTGGCAGAATGTCTTGTTGAAGTGGAGGTATTACAAATTGCCTTTGGTTGGCCATCCTCTGTGTTAGGCCTTCCTAAACTATGAGCCACTCTAGAAAATGTGGGTTCACAGGAGTCTGGTTTCCTTCCTGAAGGTCCTAGCTGAGAAGAAAGCAGAAGAAACCACAATGCGGAAACGAAAACTTGTAGATGAGCCCAACTCCCCTAGCAGACCAAGACCATACAGGTTAGTGGTATAGAGAGGCTTTGCCACCTATTGCTATTGTTGATTTGCCCGTGGGCAGTTGCTTGATTTTCAGGGCTCTTCAGTACCTTGTCCATCCCAGGGCAAACTGATAAAAGGAAATAAGTTTATATTTTCTATTTAATTTGAACAGTCTCTCATCAATGTAAGATTGTTCTGTTTATCAAGATGGAGGCTGAACTGGACTGTAGCTTGGAGGAGTGCTCGCTTATCGAGTGTGAGGCCTTGGCATCAAAACAGGCCAGGCAGTGGTGGCACCCCCCTTTAACTCCAGCACTCAGGAGGTAGAGGCAGGTGGATCTCTGTGAGTTCAAAGCCAGTCTGGTCTACAAATTGAGTTCTAGGATAGACAGAGCTGTTACACACAGAAACGCTATCTCAAAAAAAAAAAAAAATGAAAAAGAGAGGACAAGAAGAAAACACAAACAAAGGCTAAGTGGAAACATAGCTCTATACATCTAAACTCATCATAGCCAATGAATAAATAATGGCCTTATGTTATGGAAGGCACAAAACTTAGGAAGTCTTAGACTATTATATAAAAACAGAAGGAGGCTGAAGAGATAGCGTGGTGGCTAAAGTATTTACCATGCAAGCTTGAGGACCTGAATAATCCGCAGAGCCCATGGGGGCTGCTAGGCATGGTGGCAAAAGTTTATAACTGAGGTGCTGGAAGGATGCAGGCAGGTGGACTTAATGGCTCACTGGCTGGTCAACCTAGCCTACTGGGCAAGCTCTAGGCCAATAAAAGACCCTGTCTCAAACCAAAAACGAACAACACTTGGGAAAGAGTACTGGAGGTTGTCTTTCGCCCTCCACACGAGTGTACATTAACAGCACTGTTAATACATAAACATGCACATACAAAAAACTTCGAAAGAATTAGAACAAATAAAATGGAATTCTGTTTTTTCCCATGAGCAACTGGGTAAAATGTATGCAATATACTGTGCGTGTGGTGCACACTTGTAAACACAGCCTTCAGGAAGCAGAAGCAGTAGAGTCACTCACTACAAGAGGCCAGCCAAGGATGCTAGTGAGATCTTGTCTTAAAAGAAAACAGAGTGTGCATGAATTGTTAGGGGGAATGCTGAGCGCATCCCAGCACGCGGAAGGTGCTGTTGTAGAGGCTACTTGTGTACTTTTGATCCTCTGTCAAAGGAAGATTTAGTCAATAAGACAATTTAGTCATTCTTGGAATCCCAGAGAGAAGCCACCTGGAATAGTCCACGACATGGTTTGCTCCCCAGCCCAACGGTGCTTTTGTGCCAAGGTCTCCTAGGGCCTAAGGCCCTTAGATGTAGACATAGTGAATATGAACTAGGAAGGGGCTGACCCTATGGGTTCAGGTGATGTGTCAGTGACAAGCCATGTGGAATGTGAGCATACCTGAGGCGTAAGACTTGGTTTGATTTTATTTAACTAATTTTCCCACAGCGATGAGGCGCAAGTCTCCCCAGGGTTTTGATGCACAACTGAATATTTCATAGTCAGATACCTCTATCAATCACATTTTTTGTTTCTCAAACATGTCCTTAAATGTCTCCGATTGGAATTCTATTGTGAATTAAAGCAACCAAAGAAATTTTTGCCACACAATTTTTCCTGCCAGCCAGGAGTAGTATAAAAATAGCCAGCTTGCTGAAATATTCATTTGGACTACATTTGCTTGAATGTGGTAATGTTGCCATAGCCAATGACATTTCCTGGGCTTTCCTCCCCCTCTTCAGGGCCAAGATAGAGACTTCTAGTGAAGCCTTCAGTAATCAGAAGCCCCTGAAGAAAAACCAGAGGGTAAGCATCAAGTTGGAGGCTGTGAGGTTCTTGATGGCTCCTTTGTTAGAGGCTGAGATTCCTGTTAAATGCTCAGCTTGGTCCTTGCTACAGATTGAACTGACTAAACTCATTCTTGGGTTTAATGACATCCAACTATTCTGTCCTTGTCACAGTCTATCCCTAAGTGGTTGTATAATGCACATACCCATGGATCTTTTCACATTGTCTTCTCAAGTTAAAAACTGCTTGTGTTCTATAATTTAAAATAGGTCTGTATTGAGTGAGTGTGAAATCCAATATAGAATCCTCACTGTAGAAACCTTTTGCCTTAGTCTACACTGGAGTCTGAGTCTGGTGTGGGTCTAGTTTTAGCAGCTGAGATGGGCACTAGAAGTTGGTAAGGAGTAGTAGCGCACACCTTGAGTCCAGTGCTCGGGCCAAGACAGTGAGATGGCTACAAGTCTGAGGCCAGCCTGACTCCACTATAAGTTTTAGGTGAGACGGGTCTGTGGAGTGACACATCGTCTAAAAAGAAACAAGACAGGGACGCTATAGAAGCTAGAGGGTGCTGTGAAGTGATGTTGTCCAGGCCTGACTAGTCAGTCATTCAGTCTCTCAGCAGCAGTGAATTCCGAATCAAATCTGAACCAGACCTAGCCAGTCATCATTCCTTCATGGACTGGGAAGGGCACATGACGCTCAGCCCCTAACTAAGGTGCCAGCAGTTCATGAACTGCTGGAGGACAGGGGAATCATTTTATGCAGGAGTGTAGCTACTGGTAAGCTGCCCATGCTCCAGTAAATAATCCTACACCAATATACATGCAAGCAACGCTAATTAAGTTGTGGGTTCTAGGGAAAGAAAATCATGGCAGGAGGAAGGGGATGTGCTGGGAAGAAAGGCTACAGAACAAGAGGAAGGAGAGTAAGAGAGTGAAGTGGGGAGTAAAGATGATCTAAATATATTATTTATTTTACATTTATGGAGTTGTGAAAGAAATTTTAAATTATTTTGTAGAAAAAAATGGAGGAAGCTAGACATGGTAGCACATGCCTTTAATCTTGGCATTTAGGAGTCTGACAGGTTTTGAATTCTCTTGAGTTCACAGTCCTCCTGTTCTACACAGAGAGTTCCAGGCCAGACCTAGTCTTTAAAGAAATAAACAAACAGAGGGAGATGGCTCAGCCCTTAGGAGCATTTGCAGCTCTTACAGAAGACCTGAGTTCAGTTCCCAGTATCCATGTTGGACAACTCACAACTGCCCGTAACTCCAGCTCCAGGAGATCCAACACCCTTTTCTGGCTTCTGTGGACACCTTCACACATGTGCAAGCACTCAAACACACACATAAATAATTTTTTTAAGAATTTATTTATTATGTATACAGTCAGATCTCATTACAAATGGTTGTGAGCAAAGCTCTTGACAACTGAGCCATCTCTCCAGCCCCAAATTTTTTAATGAAAAACAAAAACAAATAGCCAGTGAGATGGCTCATTTGGCAGAATCAGCTGCGCCAAGTCTAACGCGTTCGCCTCTCTCCTGAGGACCACATGATGGGAGGAGGAACTGACTCATTCAGGGTGCTCTGGCTTCTGTGTGCACGCCGTGACATGAGCACACCTTCAGGCACCTCTCACCCGTACATCTACATAGAGACACTGTAAATGTTGTTGGGCCAGGGCATGAGTGCTCATGCCTTTAATTCTAGCACACAGATCACTGAGTTCAAGGACAGCCAGGGCAACATAGACTGTTCCTACCCCCCATAAAGTAATTAAAAAGGCTAGAGATATGGGTTAGTGGTTAATATCATAAACAACTCTTTAGAGGTTATGAGTTCAATTCCCAGCATTCAGGTTAGGTATCTCACAACTGCCTCCAGCTCCAGAGGGATCTTTCCTGCCAACAGAGGCCTCTGTCTTCTGTGGATACTTCACTTACATGTACATATTCACACACATACATATAATTTAAAATAAAGTAAATCAATTAAAATGTAAGAACAGCTGGGCAGTAGTGGCGCATGCCTTTAATCCTAGCACTTGGGAAGCAGAGGCAGGTGGATCTCTATGAGTTTGAGGCCAACCTGGTCTACAGAGCAAGTACCAGGATAGCCAGAGCTACACAGAGAAACCCTGTCTGTCTCAAAAAAACAGAAAAAAGAAACAAACAAAAACCAAACAAACAAAAAAGGAGCAAAGCCTCTAGAACAGTAACAGGCTGTCCCAGTGATTTTTTTGTTTGTTTGTGTTGCTTTTGAAACCGGGTTTCTCTGTAGCTTCCACTATATTGGAACTCACTGTATAGACCAGGCTGAACTGGAACTCACAGAGATCTGCCTGCCTCTGAGTCCTGGGATTAAAGGTGTGCACCACTACCTCCTGGCTGTCCCAATGATTTTATTTTGTTTGATTTTATTGATTTATGGGTCTGTACCTTCATTTTAATGTTCATATACTGACTACGTCCTCATTGTAAAGCTCCTTTTCAGTAGTTGTCTTCAAAGCTTCAGGGTTCTTTCCTCTACTGGTCACCCTTCACCTTCCCAGGCCCACAGCACACTCAGTTAGGGAGCAAGGATCTACCATGTGCATTCATTCAAGACACTATTCTGTGTCTCCCATGTGCCAAGTACTTGGGCTGTCAGCTTCTAAAGCCGCCAGGAATGTCAGACCAGACAGACAAGATAGCTGTGCTGTGTACAGGAAGCACTAGGTACCTAGTGGATACAAAGCGGCATGAGGAAAGAGTTCCCTGGGCAGGTTGAGGCCTTTGAAGAACTTAGGCCAGGAGGAAAGAGTGTGATGCTTTTCATGCCTGCAGGCCAGTGCACCCAGAACTTTTACTGGACAGATCAGCATGGGCTAGACAGTGATAGGCCTTACATCCACCAGGATCACAGGAATTTACCTAAAATATTTTTGAGTGGGGGCTGGAGAGATGGCTCAGAGGTTAAGAGCACTGACTGCTCTTCCAGAGGTCCTGAGTTCAATTTCCAGCAACCACATGGTGGCTCACAACCATCTATGAGATCTGGCTCCCTCTTCTGGTGTGTGGGAAGCAGAATGTTGTACACATAATAAATAAATAATTTAAAAAAATATTTTTGAGTGAAGAAATGAAGCAAGGGGCTGGAGAGTGGCTCAGCATTAGGAGCACTGGCTGCTCTTCAGAGGACCCAGGTTGAAATCCCAGCACCCACATGGCAGCTCACAACTGTCTGTAACTCCAGTTCCTGGAGATCTGACACCAGTGCACATGAAATAAAATTAATTATTAAAAAGTTAACGAAGCAATTTTATTTCCAGTCCACCATTTTGCTAACATGTTGTGGGCTAGAACATCCAACACACATGTAAAACCTGGCTGCTTATTCTAGGAGTTTATCAGTTACTTGACTGTGCCCTTGGGATCTAGATTTCTGCCTTTGGGAAAAAGGTTAGAAGATGGGGCTCCAGTTTTGTGTCACAACCCCACAGTCCATGAGGTTTAGGTAGAAAGCTGTCTCCTGTGCTCCCAGCCTTTGGAGTGGCAGAAAGAGAAATGAGAAAGAATAAGAGGGTACATGAAGCTCTGGAGAACAAAGCTCTACACAGCGAGATAATTGCTGTACGGGAGCATTTCCCTCGCACTATCCTCTGTACCTTCCTATTCTTAGTTTGACACATCATCTCCTGCAAGAACAGAACCCACAGCTTCTTACTCAACATAATTACCTTTTCAACCTGACTCTGGGCTTAGAGAAAAGCTGAGCAAAAGGAGCATGTTTATTGATTTTGACTCAACACCCAAAGACAGCCTCCTTCACAGACTCTGTTCCCAGGGAGAGGATTTCTCCTAAATTAAGGTAATCACAGAGACTCTCAGTGCAAGCCACTTGAGCTGGAAAAATTGAATTTGCTCCTATGGTTCAGTGCTTGGCACCCCACCCTTTTGTGGGAAATTTGGGTACAGGATCACATACAGCACAGGGGCGAGGGGGGTGTTGCACATGTCTAAACACATTTGAAAAGTTTGCAGGGAACTTAGAAGAATACAACACTTGTCTCATAAGAGATGTTTGGGAAGAATAAAGAAGAGAAGACCTTTTCTTTTTGGTCTTTCAGGTCCCAGACCTAGAAACCCAGACTACGAAAAGATTAAAAGACAGGAGAGCACAGATAAATGGCCCTGATTTGGACCAGACTGCTCACAGTGTGTTCCCCACTTCTAAGCAGAACTGGCTCTTAACATTTAGTGCCATTCAAGGTGTGACACCAGCTGGCTGTCTCCAGTGGTACCACAGTCTCAGCTGTCTTTCCTCCCTTACAGCTTGTGCCTTCAAGGGAAGCTACCCTTCTAAGAGCAGTCTCCTTACTTCTGAGTTGACTGTTGCCCTCTGATCCCTTATATCCAGCCCTCATGGATACTGCTCTCTTTGGTCATCTCTGCAGCAAGATTTATGTCCAAAATCATAGTTTTCTTAAATTTATAGGAATTATCCTTTCGCCAGGTGGTGATGGTGCACGCCTTTAATCCCAGCACTCAGGAGACAGACAGGCGGATCTCCGTGAGTTTGAGTCTAACCTGGTCTTCAGAACAAGTTCGAGAACAGGCTCCAAAGCTACAGAGAAACCCTGTCTCAAGGGGGAAAAAAAAGAATTATTCTTTCATGCTTTCATGAAACTAGACCTAGGCCTTCTAAATCCTTCCTTTCTGTCTAGGGGGTAAGAATGGTTTTCTTCCTCCCTTTAGCTCTGTATAGGAATATGAGCCTGGGCCTGCCCACTGCAGACCTCCATCTGAAGTGTTTATGAGGAAGCTCATCTCAGGGAGATCTTCCATTCTGACTTGAAAGTTATGCTTAGAATTGGGATCAGAGATGACTTCCTCGGGACTTATTGCGACTCTGCCTCTCCATCCACCCTGTACAAATTCTTCACCAGAAGCACAACCTGAATAGCATACATGCTGCTGTGCACTCAGGTGCACAGGCTATGCTGGGTGAGGACGAGCCAGCTGGCGGATATTCCCAAGAAATGTATGCCTGTGTTTCTGACCTTCAGAATGTTTACTGGAAATGCAGACCTGGAACCATGAAGGAATTTCACCAACAGATGAAGGAATTTCTACCAAGCAGTGACACACGGAGAGATATAAGATCGCACTGTATTATACTGGCTGTTTAGCTGTCCTGCTTTCACCATGCCTGACTCTAGGTATGCTGATTGTATTTACTCAATAATGGCACTGTGCCCTTTTCATCATGTCTCTGCCCGGAAAGCCCTGCTCTTCCTGACCAGCTCCTCACCCCAATTATGACAAAATCCCATCCATCCATCAGAGCTCCATCCAAATGTCACTTCCCCTGCGGAACCTTCCTTCACAACAACCACCCATTTTGCGATCATAGCACTACAGACTGGAAGAGCGGCCTCATCACACTGGCTTGTAGTATAATCATGCCCCATGAACTGTACATGTCTCCAGAATGACATTTGCTCAGCAATAGGGATGGAGAGGCAAGCCCAGGCGGCTTGTTCTGAGCTCCTGCAGACATGATTTTAGAGGGACTACGTTGGAAGCTGGAGTGAACAAGAGCAGTCCTACAGAAGACACCTGCCAGGCTATCAGAAGCCAGTAGCCCCCCCCCTTTCAGACCTTGTAGGATGAAGTTAATATTTTATCCTTGGCATTTATTAGGTCTCAGGTTTTTATTTTTATGCAGGCTACTTATCAAAAGGTTGATCTTATTGTCCCCTGGAGCTCAAACCCAGGACCTACTGCGGTAAAGCAGACATGATAACTGCTACACCACAGAGCCCTCAAGCCTTTTTTCCCTTTTTTAAACAGAACAGGGAAGGAGAAACCCAGCAAGAATACCAAGATACCCCAGTTTTTGATGTCTGTGATGTCCAGGAACAGGGTAGGTTTAGGTGGGTTCTTGTTTGGTGGGTGGTTTTGTTCTTTGAGACTGGCTCTTGTGGTAGAGCCCAGGCTGGCCTCTAACTCTTGAGCCTTCTGTTTGCTGAGATCATAGGCACGAGCTACCGTGCCCAGCTTCCCCTTACTTCTGACAGTGAACTCAGTAGTCCAGCAATTCCAAAACATTTCCTAACTAACTGAGAGGGCTCGAAGGGAAGTTGGAAGAGCTGTGGTTTGCTCTTCTGTGGGGTTGAAGAACTGTTTCTGGGAAGTACTTTCTCCTCTTCCCTGGGGCATCTGCATTAAGACTGAAGGTGCAAAGACTGAAGCTGGAGCTCAGTTGGTGAAATTCTTGCCTTACTTGCACAGAACCCTGGGGACAATCCCCAGCGCCTTACAAAACCAGGCAAGGTGCACCCCTGCCATTCTAGAATCCAGTGCTTCGCTGCATAGCTGACCCGGGCTGCATAAAACAAGAAGGTATAGACAGGTCCTCTGCCAGGCCTGTGAATGCCCAATGAGGCATGCCAATCCAGCTTTCTTTAAAAAAAATTATTTATTTGTTTATTATGTATACAGTGTTAGTTTCCATGTCTGCCTACATGCCAGAAGAGGGCATCAGATCTCATTATAGATGGCTGTGAGCCACCATGTGGTTGCTGGGAATTGAACTCAGGACCTCTGGAAGAACAGTCAGCATTCTTAACCTGTGAGCCATCTCTCCAGCCCCCTTCCAGCTTTCTTATCTGTTACCCCGCACAAGGACTTGGAGTGGGGTGCATTTAGCCAGATGCAGGGGATAAGCATGTGAACAAGTTGTGGTTCCTTGTGGAAACATGTCAGCTCTGGTGGATGGCTGAGACTTGAGATATGTAAAATCTCAAGTCTCACTTTGAAAATGCATAAGGACAGAACAGAATTTTACTGAGCTGATATGAAATTGGAAAGGTCAGCGCAAACATTTCACCTGGCTCTAAATAAATCTTGGTGTGTGAGGCTGCCCTGTGTTCTTTCCGTTCACGGAGCCTCTGGGCCAGTCTCTTTTCTCTGTCTGTCTGTTTCCCTTACAGATTCTAAGTTGGAGCATAGCCTGCCAGAGCTGGTTGTCCCTCCCCTGCAACATAGCAACCCACCACCACCCAAAGAACCAGGATCCAGTGGCTTCTTTGGGTTTCTAAGGTAAAACAAGGTTGTTTTTGTTTTTTTTTTTTTAATTTATTTTTTATTTTTTGCCTTTAAGCTAAAAAGCAGTCTCTAGGTCCAGTTGCTTCATTGAGTCTTGGGGAGGGAAAGACTAGAGAAGGAGTAGAGTCTTTACTGAGATTTCTCAGTTGTATCAAAGATAGATGATGGAAATGAAATAGAAAACAAGGGCCCTAATTCAAAAGAATGTGGTGGGGTTTTTTTTTTTTTTTGTTTTTTTTGTTTTTGAGGCAAGGTCTCGCTGTGTAACCCTGACTGGCATGCAACTCACTATGTAGACCATGCTGTCCTTGAACTAAGAGATCCTCCTGCCTCTGCCTGCAGAGTGTTGAGATTAAAGATGTGCACCATCACACCAGATTTCTTCCTGTTGAGACAGGGTATCACTTTGAGCTTGGGCTGCTGTGCTCTCTGTCCATGTGTAAAGCTCTTTCCACCCTGAGGTGCCCTCACAAGCCTGTTTCACAAATGTTGCTTGAACAGAAACATCTGTCTGTCTTGAGTCATTCAGATGATTTGAGTCCAGAATGCTTCCAACTCTCCCCTCTGAATCTAGGTGTGTGTTCAGAATCCTTTTTGGAGAGAACACTGAGCAATCTTTGTCTATCTAGAGTTCAACTATCCTATTGCAATTCTTTTTCCTTTATTTCCCCCTTCCGGGTATAATCTAGTTTGGGTACCTTCTCAAATGATGTTTTAGACTTGAATTTCCATTCTGTGGTTCCCCAGAGCAAAATGCCCCAGCTAATGAAGCACTAATGGGAACCAGGGAGAAGGGACGCAACCTCCTTGGTCTCAGACCCCTCTGCTCTCCTCCCTGCAGCACTCTCTTCCCGTTTCGGTGTTTCTTCAGGAAGAGCAGTCAGTGAGCCTGCCAGGCACTACAGCATGGTGGCGGTGGCGGTGGTTGGTTGGAAAGAGAACTTTCTCTTGCAGTGACTCCACCTGAGCTATACCAAACATCCTTTGCTTCCATTTTCTTCCTTTTTTCTCTTGTTTATTTTTGAGACAAGCATTATTGTTAATTAGCCTAGGCTGGCTTCAAGTGCTCCATCTCTGTCCTGGGCTCCCAGTTGCACCATCACACACCATCCTTTTCCTGTAATTCCTGGGTTATGTGGATGTGGGCACAGACTGAGTCCTCATAGTTTATCCTGTTGTTTGCCTTTGTTTTTTACAAATTTAAAACGCTAAGGATGGACCTGGAAAGACACTAGTTAAGAGGGCAAACTGCTATTGCAGAGAGCCTAAATTTGGCTCTTAGTACTCACATCAAGGGGTCCTCAAGAACCTCTAACCATCAGGATCTGACACCCTCTTCTGGCCTCTGCGGGCACTTGCACTCTGCCCCTCCCGATTACAATAACAAAACAACACTCATGTCCTGCGAGGTGGCTAGATGGGTAAAGCAACTGTAGTCAAAGCTAATAACCCAAGTTCAACCTCCATATATGTACCAAGACTTGCACATTCACACAAAATAAAATGTAATTTTAATAAAAAATAAAACACTAAGAATTCCACTGCCCCGAGGTTTAAGTCTTTTGTCTCTAATGTGCAGGATTCTAATGACAATAATTGTTCATGATGGATTATTGATTAGACATGGTGAAGCAGAGCATGAGAAAGACCAGACAAGCCTTCACAGACCTTCTCCCCAGATCACGGGTTGTTGCTTAGTGAACCACATGGGATGCTCACCTGACCTCAGCTCTTACGGTTCTTTACCAGGGGTCAGGGAATAGGGTCACATAAGGTTCGCTAGCTTGAGTCCCACTGCCTCAAAAGGAATTCTTCATTTGGTTGGACCTCAAAGGATAATGCCTTAAATGTAAAATGTTCCCCACCTGCTTATCCCTCTGGTGCCTTCACAAGAACACAAACTAGTTCATCAGTGTACCTGGAAGCCTGTGCAAGTTAGGGCCCTGGAGAAGGCTAAGGTGTCCAAACCCTTTCTTCAACCAAAGGGCTATTTAGAGAAGCATCATGGATTTACGTGGCCTCAGAGAACCAAAAGAATAATGGATGGACATTTAGGAAAACTCGTTTTAGCTCTGAACAAATGAATCTGTGTTTGAACTTTTAGTGAAGTCTGATATGAGAATGGATTACTTGTAGGTAATGAGCTCTGTCACCTCAGGTCTTTAAACAGTTTGTCACATGCCAGGGTTCTTGATGGGAAGGAAGCCCAAGGCTAGAATGCTAAGGTCCCTCTGAGTCCCTCTGCTTGGTTGCCTCTACCTTTGACAGGGAAAAGGGAGAAGTGGGGTGCTCTGGAGAGGGGGCTGGCACTCAAAGACCTGGGATCTAGGGAGGAAGACACCAAAAGGCAGCAGGGTGCAGGGATGGGAGGTAAGCAACATGGGCACCACCAGTTCCTCCCAAATTCCGTTTACACCCTTGTCCTACCATTCCAAACATAATTTGAAAGCTATTCTTGAAGGGCACAGCTCCAAAGCCTGGAGACCTGAGTGCCCATACTGACTGGGACCAGCTTACCAAAGGACCTGTGTCCCTTTCTTCTCATCTGGAAAATAAAAGGTAGGATTTGAAAGCTCCAAGTATCCCTTGAGTTCTGGCAGGCTGTGGACTGCCCTGTTCTGAACCAGGTCAGTGTGGTAGTGGGCTGAGAGGAGCTCCTACAACAGCTGTAGGCTTTCTGAGCCGGGCCCTTTCCAACTCAGCTGAGGTCTTTGTTACTGTGTTTTGTTTTGGGTTTCTTTTGTTTTGCTTTTTTTATTTATTGTGGTTTGGGATTTTTTGTTTTGTTTATTTGGTTTGGGTTGTTTTGTTTCATTTGTCCATCCTTGCCAAGACAGTTTTCTCTGTGTAGCTCTGCACCTCCTAGAACTCACTCTGTAGAATAGGCTGGCCTTGAACTCAGAAATCCACCTGCCTCTGCCTCCTGAGCCTTCCACCACCACCACCTGGCTTGTTAATGTTCTTTATGGTGCTAAAAATGGATGGAACCCAAAGCCTCAAGCTGCTAGGCTAGTGCTCTGCCACTGAACTGCATCCACAACCCTCAGCGTGTCACAGCCTTGTCCCAGGTGTCATTCACCACCACGGATAGACAGCAGGGTACTTGAGTGTGCTGTTTAGTAGGTAGCCTCTCCTCTATAACCAGAACTGGACACCACCGATTTGCTGAGATTGGAGTCTACTCCCTGTTGTTCCAGGGACTAAGGAGACTCTAGCTCAGAATTCACTCTGCGGCTGGCCACATGAGGAGAAAGCATTCACAAGTCACTGGCAGACCGACATGAACCTACCCCTAGTCTGCCACAAAGCACAATTTAGGTGACCCTACACGTGGGACACCCCTTGAAAAAAAGAATCTTGTTCTTGGGATGGGGATGTAACTCCCTTGGTGGAGTGCCTCCCTAGCATCCACAAAGCCCTGGATTTGACCCCAGAACAACATAAACTGGATGTGGTGGCTCATGCCTGTTATTCCAGGACTTGGGAGGTAGAGGCAGAAAGATCAGAAGTTCAAAGTTGCTTCTGGAATGTATGAGATTGTGTTTTAAGGGAAAAAAAAGGTTATTTTTTTAATCCCATTACTTTGCATCACTAAAAGGCATCTAGGCAACAGAACTGAGGGTCGTAGTTTTTAGACGGAGAACGGCTGATCAGGGAAGAGTCCTGCCCAAGCTTGGTGGGAAGGAACCCAGCTGCACACATGTCACCCTGGGCCACTTCTGAGCTTGCCTCAGCTCCTCTAGTACTCTACCCTAGACAGCCTTCTGGGAAAGGGAAATGTCAACAGAGTCAGACCGCGATCCCCAGGTGGGACTGCGCTGAGGCCTCAGGCTAGGAGGGGCCAGAAAACTGATCTCCAGGAAGGCGGGGCTCTAAAACACTGCAAATAAAAGCCTGGAGAACCAGTACCAGTTTGGAGACCAGCAGGAGGCACTGGGAGTCTGCTGTTTCTGCTGAATCTGGTGAGCTGCTGAAGTTGGGGAGAGCAGGAGGGTTGGGGGTCACATGGAGCAGGGAAGAGGTTTGTACTGAGATGGTGTGGGACATTCCAGGGAAAATCTGCACAAAATAGAAAGTCCCATCCTGAAATGGCCACTCATACCCTTTCGAAGTGGCCCAGGCAGAGTGGCAAACACCCCACATATTCCCGCCAAAACCAGGCAGGACAGACAGCACCACCCAGGCACACTTCACCAGTCAGAAGACCCAGCAGCCCGGCCTGTTGGCAGAGGCACATCTTCAGAGACCTCCCTCACCCACCCACACCTTCTCAGATGCTCATGGCACCGCGTGTCCTGCTCTTCTGCCTGCTGGTCCTGGCAGTCATTGAAGGCCATTGTCAGGAGGCAGCCATCCCAGGCTGCCACTTGCACCGTGAGTAACTCTGCTAGGGAGAGTGGATTGGGGCAAGAGCAGAGGTATCCCAGAGCTGCAGATAGACCCCAGCCAGCAGTCTTCACAGCCTTTTTCCTCTCCTTCCAGCCTTCAATGTAACAGTGCGAAGTGACCGCCATGGCACCTGCCAGGGCTCCCATGTAGCACAGGCCTGTGTAGGACACTGTGAGTCCAGCGCCTTCCCTTCCCGCTACTCCGTGCTGGTGGCCAGTGGCTACCGACACAACATCACCTCTATCTCCCAGTGCTGCACCATTAGCAGGCTAGAAAAGGTGAGGGACCTGGGCCTGACAGAGTCATGAGGGTGGGGACCCGGGGTGGGAAGGAATCGGAACAAATTTGGGTTTCTCCAACAGGTGAAGGTGTGGCTGGACTGCGTGGGGAACCAGCAGGGGGAGCTTGAGATCTTCACTGCCAGGGCCTGCCAGTGTGATATGTGCCGCCTCTCTCGCTACTAATGCCTGAATGGCTCAGGCTCCAGTCCTGACACCGTATGCTATGGATCTCTCCAATGAAGGGGCAACTTCAGCTCTGCCCCTCGTTAGAGCCAGTGACTGTGACCTCCTTTTACCTGGTCTATAAGCAGTCCATTGCTATGCTGTCCTTCACTCCTGCCCTCAATAAAGCAAGCAATGCTTGAGTTTCGCTCTTTATTAAGTCTGCCCCCTAGCCAGGTGAAGGGAGCAGACCATGATTACTGTAACCCCCCCTCACCCCAGGACAATGTGAATCTCTTCTTGCCTGTGCCCTCACCCCTCCCCCTGCCCAATAAATAAAAAGGGGACAAGAAAGTACAGGGCAAGGGAGAGGAGAGGAGAATGTCCCTGGACAGTGTCTTGTTGAGGGTGAGCTGGGCAGAATAAATAGACCGTGCCCCCATGGTGGGAATGAGGAAGGCCCTGGCCAGGTGCTGAGTGCCCATGTCCCAGGCCAGGAGCAGAGGTGGGAGCCCAGCTGTATAGGGCAGGGGAGGATCCCTGATGGCAGCTTCCCAGTTGCACACTTGCCCTGGTCTATGTCTTGCCAGAATCTTGCCACAAAGGCCTGAGAGTTCTGCTGCCAAGACTACCAACTTGCATTCTTGTTTCCCCTCCATGAAAGCTGTTCCCATGGGGCTGGCAGGGAGTCCTAGAACCACTCTGGCAAGGCCACGGGGAGGCGTGGACCTCACTGGGCCCCTGGGCAGAAGGGATGGAAGGGCTGATAGCTCTGGGTTTAGCTTCTCCTCTTCTAGATTTGTCTAGCTCTGACCCCCACTGGCAGCCACCTGGGGTGTAGGCCGAGAAAGGGGGACTTCCTTGGCCCCTTGGGTCCCCTGTAGCCGTCGTAGCTGCAGCTCCTCCAAACCTCGCCATAGCTCCTGTCGTTCCTGGGCCTTCTGCTGCTCCCTGGGGAGAGAGGGTGAGGCAGCTCTTCCTCTCCTGGACTGCCAACAGTCTAACCTCCCTCATGGCCATCCCACTGTAAAGTGACTAGGACTCCATGGGGCACCTCAGCTTAGAGGGGAGGTGAGGAGAGAAAGGAGGAAAAATTAGGCTGTGAGCTGCCCTGAGGCATTGGTACAGGGAGTCAGAGCAGTCAGTGGGCAGCCCCTCTGGAAACAGGGTGAAGCTGACCATACTGGGACGGTCTGATGTCCCTCCCTAGTGGCCAGCCTCTGACCCTGTACTCACTGCTGTTTCTCCAGCTTGTAGGAGGCCGTAAGCTCGTCGAACAGCTTCCCATTCATCTCCATGAAAGTCTTGAGTACGTTGTAGATCAGCGAGACGATGGTTCTGATAGCCAAGGAGAGGTGTTACGGAGGTGAATGAAATACCATGCTGCTCGTCCCTGGTCCCTGAACACTGCCCATTTCCATGCCCTTTGGTATCCTGACATTTGCTCTCTGTCCAGCTAGGAATGGCCCTGGGGGCTGGACTAGCTGTGGTGCCTGACTTCAAGGGCACAGGCTTGGGCACTCACGGGTTCCAGTGCTCCTTGGACACTTGGTAGAGGGTCCCAAATACCGCAGGCAGCACAGTGTGGCAGTTGTCCTCAATGAGGCTCAGGATGTACTCATTATTCCAGAAATACAGAGCCCGCTCTGCAACCTGGACAAGAGAAGCAGGAGAGAGGGCTTGGTAATGGTCTATCTTTCAGCCTTCCCCCCCAAACCTGGATCCTCCGACCCCTACACCCCATCCCACGGGCTTATCTAACCCATTGGAGGAAACAAATGGAGGAGAGAAAGCATGGCTTCAGTCAACACCGCAGTTCCGACTCCTCCAGAGCCCACTGCACGTGTGCGGCCTTGGTGAGCCATGCAGCTCCTCAGCCTCAGCTGTCTGCTGTGTGAGTGGGGCTAAGAATACCCATCGCCACAGCTGTTGTCGGGAGGAAACGAGTTCCTGTACTTCAAGGTGTTTTCAAAGTGAAACACCAGAGCCATCGTGAGAAGAATCAGCTTCCACCAGGTCATGGCTCCTAAGAGTGAGTCTAGTCTAGCGTGGGGACTGAGCCTTCTGGCCAGAAAGTGGGGCCAGTGACGTCTAAGGTTACCAGGAAAAGAAAGGGGCCAACAGTCCTGCAGCCCACTTTGCCTCAGTTTCCCTGCTGTGTTTACCACTATGAGTTCCGGTCATTACACTATGAATGACTATTGTTGCCCCATTTTTGATCAAGGAAACCCACTTAAGACTCAGAAGTGATTCCCCAAGGCCTCTCAAGTGGAATACAGATCTGAGGTTTGGCCCTAGGTCTCGTGACCCTAAAGCCAGCATCTGCCTATTATCAGGTCGCTAAGGCTGGAAGAGTAGCTGAGGGGAGAGAAGACTATGTTAGACTAACTTTGAAACTTTGCCAGGCTGCGCCCCTGCCCTGACCCACTTGCCTTTGTCACATACCTGGAAATGGGGGCTGGAGACACAGCGAGCCACCTGCTTGAACAGGGGCTCCTGGATCTTCACAAACTGGGAGGGCTCGATGACATCAAGAATTTCTTCCATCTCCCCCAGGAACATCACCTGGGGAGAGGGCAGGGCAGCAGCTCACATTCCCTTAAAGCATGTACCTGCTTGCCTTCTGGAAGCCGAGCCCTCCCACCCACTCTCAGGGTTGGGAGAGCCCTTCATACCTCCTTCTGGGTGCAGGTTTTAGGCCAGTATTTGAGGAGCCCCCGGATAACCTATAGGGTGGAGGAGGAGTCAGACCCATAGAGTGAGGAGCCCACCTTCCCTCCAAGGTACTCACATGCTCGGTCAAAGTGGCATCCTTCTCCAGGAACTGCACCACACAGTATGCCAGCTGCAGGGCCAGGATGGAAAGAGGGAGCCAAGGTCAGGAAGGAAGAGGAGCCAAGAACTAGCTGCCCAGGACAGCGTGCCAGGCACCTGCTCATTACTGCCTTCACACTCTTGTTCACTGGGCACTTACTGCTGCTTTGGACTTCAAGGCACCAAGCTCCTGAGTGCCCAGCAGCATAGAGCTGGTGTCTGAGGTCAGCTCTCAAGTAGAGGGAGACTGAATTAGAGACTCGGGGGTAAGAGGATGCAGCGAATGTCAATCTGACTTCCCAGCCCCACAGGCAGCCCTGAATGACAGCAGCAGCTGCTACTTCAGGGATAGGTTTGGGGCTCACCTGGGCATGAAAAACAGAAAGCGACTTGACAGAGTGCAAGGGGATCAGGACTCGAACCAGAAACTGCTTGTGCTCAGTCTTCAGGGGCAGCGCAAAGCCATTGATGATGCTTTGGAGTGGAGAGGAGGGGAGCAGGACTCAGCCAATCAGGCCCCAGTCCCTCCTACCAGACCCCCCTCCCCCAGCTCGCAGGGCTCAGCCAAACAGGCCCCAGTCCTTCCTATGGGGGGGGACCCCAACTCCAGCCAAAGCAATTACCTTCCTAAGATCTCCAGCAGTTCGGCCACACCATTGAAGTGCTCCAGCTCATAGATGAACCTGCCAGAGAGGAGAAGACTCTAGAGGGTGGGAGCGTTGGGACAGGTCCAGCTCTCCCAGCCTGACTCACCCTGCACAGCTGTCCAACCCTCCCCAACCCACAGCAGTGCACCCTTTCTGGTGCCCCAAACCAGGCCCCTCTGAGTCCTCACCCACAGTCAGAACGTCTTTCCCAGTCCAGCCCCCTCTGCCACTGTCAGTCCAGCTCATTTCTTCCAGTCCCCAGCGGTTCTTACCTGATGCCCAGCCAGCCAGCAGGCACCCAGCCTAGGACCTTCAACCTTCACGCAGTCAACCAAAGCAATGACAAACACCTCCACCCTGCACTGTAATTCCCCAAATCCCCCTGGGAGGCAGGGCATATGAAAGCCATTACAGAGATGAAGCTGAGACTCCAGCTAAAGGCTACTCGCCTCCAGGTTAATAAGTGGGGAAGCTAATGGACTGTGAGCTCCTAGAGAACAGGGCACATCTTCTCTGTTTTATCACTAGAAACAACAGCTAGTGTTTCAGAGGCCCCACCTCAGGCTAGCAGCTCTGCCAGATGCTTTGGAGGCCCCAGCTGGCTTCATCTGGAGAATGGCCCCGCATTAGCACAGGCGCTGTGCCCACTTCAAAGAATGAAGCAAGCCGAGAACTTCAAGGATTTGCCCGATTTCACCCAAATACTTGAACCAAACTCAAATACACAACCATAGTCTCAACCACAAGGTCACAGGGGCTCCCACCACCCAGCGGATATGGTGCTAAGTAGCGTTTGTAGAAGACCTGATACGATCAGAAGATCTAGACCCTACATTCAACTGGACTGCCCTCATCCCTCTAAACACTTAACTGACCTCTGCTTTCCTATATTCTTACTTGCTCTCTATTTGCTCATCTGTAAAATGGAAATAAAACTCAATTCTCCACTGCTGTCACAGGCATCGTATCATCAGTACTACATTGCAGAGACAGACCTTGGTAAACATACAGCCCACACAGCCTGGTAGTCCCAGCAGGTCCCTCCTTCCCTGCCTCCCTCCCAGGTCTCTGCTGAGAGGCAGCAGCCACTCACCGGAGGAAGATGTGGGTGCACTGCTTGCGGATGTAGGCTCGGAGACCCAGGAACTTGCCATACACCCGATGCAAGATGGTCTTGAGGTACTCACGTTCCCGAGGGTCCTCGCTGTCAAATAGCTCCAGCAGCTGTAGGACCCAGGGTTAGGGTAAATAAATCCAGATATCAGCCCCTGTTTTTCCCATCCTATCCCCATGACCCCCAGATAGCCTGTGCCTGCCGTATGGTACCACCCAGCCTGGGCTCCCCAAGTCACCATCAGGACAAACTTTTGATCCACATATCTCTTGGCCACAGAGGGCTGGAAGTCTGGACTCTCCAAGAAACGCAGGAAAAACTCGTATACCAGCTGGAGGTTGGAGACAGACCAAAAGGTGCACTTAGTTACAGCCTGACCGACTTTCCTCGCAGCCAACAGTCAGCATCTATACAATCTCCCCCCACAACCCTCCAGTCTCCTCTGAAATGCAGACCCCTGCTCCCCAGCCCTTCACACCTGTAGATGTGGCCACGAAGGCTCAAGGTTGGGCTCATCCTCTTCAGGGTCAAATTCAGGGTTCTCACTGGGTGGCAGGGTCCGAAAGATATTTATTGATATCTAGGGGGGCAAGT